AAAACGAGCGTGATTTACGAGTCACACTCGTGCTTTCTTCCTCTTCCATTCCCCTTTTCTCCTTGTGAGGCTTCATCTCTCTTTCTCTCTCTCTCTCTCTCTCTTTCTCCTTCATTCTTTTTCTCGTGGGTGTCTCTCGGAGTCATGTTTATATTAGCCGGCAATAAGTGACACGTCGGTATGCCCTACTCATTTTACAGGCGTAAACATGAATTACGGTGGCCGCTCGTACTTCCTGAAAACATCTTCAGACTCGATCGTTGTATCTCCCTCTATCCAAACGTTTGAGTAATTTGAACACCCTCAAATCCACCGAAAGTACTTTAGTTTGTTGAATTACGATATCTCAAAACGGACGATGCTCGTCGGACGAAGCAAATCCCAAAATGTACGCTCGAGTATATCATTCTCATTTTCCAACGTACGAGTCTCAAGTGACTCTTAAACAATAGCAATTTTTTTTTTTTTAATTAGATCAGATTTACTTGGAATAGGATCGTTCCTTCTCAATTTTCCTATGCTCATTAACTTTTCGTTCATAAAGATCATTCATAGGAGCGTCTAATTTTCTTACACAGAAGTAAGCTAATACGGAGTTTCGCTTTCGCAATTCAAAAGTTCTGTTATTCCGTTACCAGCAGCTTATATCTCTGAATGACAATAAATCTCATTCGGAAGTGCTCTTAATCTTGGATTAAATTTCCTGCGAAAATTGCGCAATCATCAAATTTCTCTCTCTATCTATCTATCTATCTGCCTATCTATCTCTATCTATCCATCTATTTTCTTCTTCACTCAGCGATAGCAATTAATTGATAAGGTTGACTTCTTTTTCACAGTCGATTCGCACGCAAATTAGTCAGCATTAAAATACCATATAGGTATAAAACGAAGATATTTATGAACCCTCTTAAAGACGCCAATTATAGCCGATAAACTGGATCTAATCTTGTCCTAATACGGAATTACGGTGTTTAACCGGATTCCTTCGAATATAGACATCTCTTATCGGTACGATCGTGTACTACAGGGAGTTTCAGTTAACCCTAAACGCTTTAAAGACCATTCTAAAGGTCGAAGAAATGTTGAAAATTAAAATGAGAAACGAAGATAATTGTGGAATGGATTGTTCCAAGAGATATAGCTTATTGTTTCGAGATTTAATACGAGTATGGTGGTATATACGATACGACGATGCAAGACGATTAGCTCTTAATACCCTGGTCCAGGGAATCGTACCAGCGATACGGGAGGTCAGGACACGCTTATTGCTTCTCGATCCACGTTCATTAAATCGATGTTATTAAATCTGATTAAAGACGACCGGATCGTTTAAGTACGGTTCAACGATTTCTTATTTCATTTCTCTTTCGTCCCTAAAACGCAAAGAAGAAAATCGATGGGCTAAGATTTAAATAAACCCAAGAACTATAGATTATAAAATAGTCTTATCGTATTTCTCGCGTTATTCGACGTTTAAAAGCATCGTTCCACTTTCGACGCCTAAATCGCGCGTTATAACGGTTCTTCGATACTCGACATCGGCCAGCCACGAGCAAAGAAATATACGAGAAATCGTCGGAGCCTAGTGCTCGTTATCCTACGATTCGTTTACCATTGCGATTTCGTTTCTTCTCTATATTACGAATGAAACGTTTTTTAAAAAAGATTAAAACGATCGATTACGATCCATATCTACAATATATACATAAATGACGGAAAATCTATATTTCCTCTTATCTTCCGAATACTATGCGCTAAACTATACTGAACGATTTTGTTATAACGGTATTCCATTTTATTATTAGAAATGTTTCGTCGGAAATGTCACGTCATAAAAAGATTCTAATATATAAATTCATTTTTACCAATAAATTCGTATACAGTAGATTTACGACGAGAATCGTTTACGTCGAATCGTCGAATTTTTTCTCTCTCTCTCTCTCTCTCTCTCTCTCTCTCTCTCTCTCTCTCTCTCTCTCTCTCTCTCTTCGTAGTAACTCATACCCCGAAAATTAGTTGCATTGAAATCCGTCATCTCTCGGATCATATAATACATAGTTCTCGTCGTCACTGAAAATTCGTAAGCGACAGAGGTTAATTGTGATTCGTACGTCATAAATCACGAGCTCTCAAATTATCATTGCCGTCGTTGGACCTTCTCGAATGCCCGGAGCGAGAGTGTCCTCCCTCCCTCTCTCCTTCCCTATCATCCGCCCTTCATTCTCTCTCTTTCTCTCTCTTTCTTTCTCTTTCGCTCTAACTATCTCTCTACGTAAAGCGGGACCGATGATCCGACCGATTATTCGTGTCACTTTGACGTCGTAGGACGGCGTCGGCGATTAAGAATTATATGAGCCCGTTGAATCGTGTCTCCTCCCCGCTTAATTTTCGTTCACGCCTTCGTCGGAACGAAATGCCTTCGTAATTTATACATCCCAAAACGACTGGAAATTCAAAACTGAAAGATCGCTAAGAAAGCGTGCACGATTAAAACTCGAACGGATGATTATTAAACTAAAAATCGATAAAAGGGATAAAATTAAACTAATAACGAGGGATAAAATAAACTATAAACGAAAAAAAAAAGAGAAAAGAAAAGAAAAGAAAAGAAAAGAAAAAAAAAAGAATTAAACAACGTTTTGATTATTTCTACCAGCGTGTTACGCGTTTTATGAAGGAAAGAGACGATCAATTGGGTCGTATCTTTGTCATTTAACTTTACCATTGTCCCCTGATGAGGGTATACAAATTATCCAATGTCTCCGAATGAATGCACGACTGCCTATTTATCAACTTTCTTCCATCCGCCTCTATCTTCGTTTTCTCTTTCTCTCTCTCTCTCTCTCTCTCTGTCTTTCTTCGGGTCTATCTCTATCTCTGTCTTCGACGAAGCACAGCTTTCTCCGGGACATCTCGTCTCTGATGGCGATCCATTCATCGAGAGACGGCTGATTGATTTCATAAATCCTACACGAAGTGGCTCGGTCGGTCGCTAAGCGTGTAAGATCCATCGCGAAGAAGCCATAAAGTTTTTCCTTGCGTAAGAGCCGAGAGACGTCTCACCGTGTAGAGAATTCGGATAAGATTGGAATGCACGTTCGAGATTTAAAAGGTCTCGCTTCACGATCGAGCACGTGCGCGCACTTTGTGCAATCTCTCTCTTGCTCTCTCTCTCTCTCTCTCTCTCTCTCTCTCTCTCTCTCTCTCTCTCTCTCTCTCTCTCTCTTCTTTCGTATCGGTATATAAGTATAAAATATTTTCTGTTATTTCACGAGCGCGCGCGCATTTCATAAATCTTCGGGGGCCAACGAAAATGGAGCTGTACATCAACACCGTGCGTGAAATAAATCGGAGTAAGCGGCGAACGTTCCACGGGAAAATATCTATCGGACGCATAAATTCTTCGTCGAGGTCGATGCGTCTGTATCGTTGTTGGGGCTATCGAAAAACAATCTTTCATAGTCGTGAGAGAAACGTCGAGAGATTGTTAAGGTAGAGGCATAAACGCGACGACGATTCTTTGTCCTTTGTCTCGGATCTATTATCGGGGAATTTGGGTTCACCCGTAAGAACAAATTTCTTATTAATAAATCAAATTAGCCGTCAAATTAATTAAGCGATCCTCGAATAACTAAGTTGTCTGGCTTTCCTTTCTTCTTTTTTTTTTTTAGAGACGAATGATCGGAAAAGATATTCTTCTCTTCTTCTTTTTTTTTTTCCTTTTCTTTGGTTTGCCTCTCACTAAATTCATCGAAGGTAGAAGACCAACTAATTCCCCTATATTAATCATTGATCCTTGTCAGATCTTACAAGGGATCTTTTCCTTCGTGTTTACGTAAAAAAAAAAAAAAAAAAAAAAAAAAAAAGAAGAAAAAAAAAAGAAAGAGAAAAAAGCTAACGTACCTGAACTAACACTTTCGTTTGTGGGCATGCCGTGTGTTACAGCGTGCGACTGCCACCCGATCGGAGCTTCTGGAAAGACCTGTAATCAGAACACCGGTCAGTGTCCCTGTAAGGACGGTGTAACCGGTACTACTTGTAACAGATGTGCCAGAGGATACCAACAGAGCAGATCGCACATTGCTCCTTGCATCAGTAAGTATTACACGGTTCTTTTCTAAAACCATCCTGCATTACTTCCACATTTTTTTTCTTTCCTACGTTCGTGTGAAAAAAAAGAAAAAGAGAAAGAGAAAAAAGCAACGAAAGGATGGTTAAGGAAGTTGGAAAGGAAGAAAGAGCCTAAGCTCGAACGTGTTTATCTTGAGCGAAGAGTACGAGGGAGGCCTGTAAATTGCACGAGCGAACACGGAACTTATTTTTAAAGGGATCTCGACGCTCCACAAATCGAGTACGCTCGAGTACAAAGTAACTTTTTGTATTACGACGTACGAGGGCGATTCTATCGAGAACGTATTTCGCATCGCGCTCCTTTCTCATTTCCATCGATCGATCGTGCAATAGCAACGGCAGCAACAGCAAAAGGTGGGCAGGCAGAATGTTCGCCTGTAAAACGAACGAACGAACGAGTTGCTCCGTACCGCTGAGTGATCGATCGATCGTTCGATCGATCGACGATCTATCGAACGAACGAGCCAAGACACGTGAAGGAGATCGTTCTTCGAGATCCGACCGAGAGACGGGTTGTCCAATTAGAGAGAGATTTGCGAAAAGCGAGTCGTGCCCGAAATCGCTTTGACTCCTCATCGATCGATCCAAGAACAAACTCGAACATCGAGCCGAACGTTGCGCCAAACTGAACCGATTCGATTAACTCGAATTCGAGCTCGAGCCTGCCAATTTTTTTTTTAACGCGAATTTTTATTTTTCTTTTATTTTTTTTTTTTAACGCGATATCTCGTTCGAGTATCTAACTCGTACTCTCTGTTATCTGTTCACAGAAATACCGAGGGTCGTGCAAACGCAGGGCACAGCGGGCGAGGAGAGCGGGGAACACGAGGACGAAGACGACGAGCGTGGATACGATGGAAGAGCCGGTAAGTAAGTGCCAAGTAAACCGGCGTGTTTTTCTTCCTCTTATTCGTTTCGTTCGTTTCGACAGAACTATACTCGACATACCTACGACGCGAGAGTGTCTTAACTCGAGAGTTTGTATGGCGAACTATCCGCTCCTCCTTCCGTTCCTCCTTCCTCTTCCTCCACTCCACCGCTACCATCCCTCTCGTCTCACAGTTGATCGCTTCATTTATTATATTTGCACATAAATATAAAAAAATGAGATAGTCACTAAACTAGATCTGACCGTGCAAACTTTGTAATACCACGAACAAAATGTTCCGATGCGCTAATTACATAAGTTTAAACAAACGGCGAGAGAAACTCGAGCGAAACTAACGAGATAACGCGGTTGTTACTCATTGAAGAACTTTACATGGTTAGAATAGAAGGTACTGAATCTGTCTCGAGGATTCTCTCTCTCTCTCTCTCTCGCTCTCTATCTATCTATCTTTCTCTCTATCTTTCACCTATTTTAACTAAAAAATATTCCCTATCTATTTCATATTTATTCCCTTTCAATGACTTTCCCAAGAAGAACCTGACCTAAGGAACTTTTAACACGCGAACCGAGAAATTAGATACGGGCATAAAGCACGAGCTTACGATCGATTTCCGAATCATAAATGTTTTACGAGCCGTGGGCGAAGGTGTAATAAGGTAGAAAAAATTGTCAGAGTTAATATAATTTTTCCGGAATGTCGTAAACCGGTGAATAAATGTCAAGTAAAGCAATGTATCTCTCTCTCTCTCTCTCTCTCTCTCTCTCTCTCTCTCTCTCTCTCTCTCTCTCTTTTTCTCTTTCTGTCTGAGAAATTTAACTAGTATCGTTCGCTAACAAATTTACCATTCGAACCTATCGTCCAAGAAAAACATTTTTTGCTTTCCTGGGTAATACCATGGAAGAATGAAAAGAGTAATTTAAACAATAGGTTCAAATTTATACTCCGGTCGTATCGTAGGAAGGAAGGAAGGAAGGAAGGAAGGAAGGAAGTCGATTTAGATACAAACTGCGTCACGCGAATGGAATGTAAGCGCGATATTAATTTAGCAGACGGAGTAGAGCGAAGACAAAAAGTTAGGAGAGGGAAAGGAAAAGGTAGAGCAAACGAGAGAGAAAATGGAAGGAAAGAGATGGGAAGGGAAAACTGAGGGTTGGAACGTCTAGCCGGTCGGTCGCAACCTCTCAGCCACCCCTAATGGCTTAATTAAAACCACCCTCAGTTGCGCGACCCGTCCGTTTACTCTACGCGCTTCTCTCCGTGAGAGTACAGTTGCCGTGTTTTATTTACACGAAGCAAAGCTCGAATGAAACGCGATCTCGAGGCGATTGCATTTCCGATATAGAAGTTATTATTGTAACTTAGCAACCAAAGCGTCCCACTCTCTCTCTCTCTCTCCCCCCCCCTCCCTTCCCTGCCCTGCCCTTTCCCACCCTCCGATCTACCTATCCATGAATATGTTCAATTACGATATTACGTGGTTCGATTTAAATACACGCGTAGACTTTCCTCGATCTGACGTAATTATCGTATCGGTAATTTCACTGGTAAAGCGATAAATCCAGGTGTTAATATCTCCAATAGGAGCTTCGTTCTTCTGGGAACAACGAACGCCGATACACGATTTGATTCTTCATTTTTAATTCAGTTTAATCGGCATTCCATCGTAAATCGCAATTATAAAAGCATACGCTATCTCGATTGCATACGTAATCTCGTGGATAGCTCGTTATCGCAAACGAGTTTTCCCGTAGGACGAACTCCCCTCTGAACTTTGAACCAAACGATCCTCGAAAAGAACTTTCACCATATCGTGAAAGGTACAATCATTTTAGTGACATTTTTTCTTTTTTCCTATAAATTTTTTTACCGTCCTCTTTCTCTCTCACTCTCTCTCTCTCCCTCTCTCTCTCTCTCTTTCTCCCCTCTCTTATCACTCGATTATCGTTTATTCGATATTCTCCCAAACGAGACGAGATCCAATAAAAATTTCAAAGTAAGCCTCGTTTCAATAGATCGCATTACGACAACACCTCATTCTGTACTCCTGTGAAATATCGGCACGCGAAGGGGTCGCATATCGTAATCGAATTTACACCTGACAAGCGTTTCTCTCAATCGTCGCTCGTAAATACTAGAGAAAGAGCAACTTTTGCTAATTTCGAATCCGCCCGTTCTCTCTACTCTTTCTTTTCTCTCTCTCTCTCTCTCTCTCTCTCTCTCTCTCTCCCTCTCTCCCTCTCTCTCGCAAGAGCACACATATTCGGCTCGGACTCGAAGAAAAATCGTGAGGAACGAGATTTAAGATTCCTAGCTAACTGGAGAAAGAAAAACGGGCGAGCCGTGCAAGCTTTCTAGGTTATAAACTTTCGATCGTAGATCAAGAAACGTGATTGTGCTTTGAAATCAAATTCCGGAAAGCGAGGAACCGCGCGCCGTCGTAAAATTTATTCGCGACAGCCACGGGGTATTGCTTTTTTTTTTTCTTTTCGAATAGAATCGAAGAAAAGAAATCCAAAGAAAAGAAATAAAGTAAACGAGGATTCCGATCTACCGACCACCTCGTCGTTACTCACTCGCTCGTAATTACGCTCGTAAAATTTTTCAAGGCCCGTAGACAATGTGCACCCGATGGCACGGAAACTCCTACCTCGGGGCTGACTTACTTCGAATGTAGGTATCGACCTACCTACGGTCACAAACATACATATACGTACCGAGCAGCTACAGTGACTCGCAAAGATGATCTTACGCTCCTTCGATATTAGATCTAGATTTATTCACGATCAATGAAAAACTTAAAAATTATATATATTCTCACGATCGTTTTTTTCCCCTCTCTTTTCTTTTTCTTTTTCGTTTTTTTTTTTTTTCTTTTCTTTTTCAACAAAATTTTCCAATTCTTACATAACGCGTATATCGTCCTATAACCATTAATTTTGAAAGAGCATATGATCATTTTTGCGAGTGACTGTATCTTTTGCGAGTCTCTGCTCTTTGAGACTTCTATAATAGGAATAGATAAAAGCTAGGAACGTGGAACGATGTTATACTATCTCTTCGTCTCCTAAGTGAAGCTGCGCGAGGAAAAGCTATTCAAAGTGTACGTTGTACGTTCTTGTATACGTTCACTCTAACGTTGCACGTATGCAACGCGTGCATTTCGCGTCACGAATCGCATCTATATGTTAATGCGGAACGCAACTGCGCGCGTAATTCTCTTCGTGCACGCACCCACGCAACCCGGGAAAGATCTCGAAAGGAAGACTGAGAAAGAGAGATGAAGAGATAGAAATATAGAAACGGGCGAGATGAGAAAGAAAGAGAGAGAGAGAGAGAGAGAGAGAGAGACGATATCGCGAAAAGTCGTGCAACCTGTATACGAGTTCTATATCCGTGAAACATACTTACGTGGGTGCTCGATGAAAATTATAAGATCGATTATCCTAATAAATTATGCAGTCCAGAATTATCTCTACGGGGCGATACACCGAGATGAAATTTTCATGAATCTGCTGCAAGACATTTGCTCTTTTATTTCTTCCCTCTTTTCTCTCTCTCTCTCTCTCTCTCTCTCTTTCTTCCTTCTTTATTTGCTCTGTCTACTCGATGAATCGAAAATTTTCCATTTCTCGTTGACGTATTATAAAGAAAAAGAGAGCTTTGCTCTCGATCAAAGAGGATATATCTTTTCTTTCGCAAACACATTATTTGGAAATACTACAAAATTGGTCCTTGATAAATACATAAATGCATATATAGATAGGTACATACATTCATGCATGCAATGACGAACAACCAGTGGAGGTCGAGAGATCTCGCCCAAGCAAAACGTGGGAAACCATTTTCGAGTAACAACGTAAACTATGTAGTCGTTACGCGTTCATAATGGTATACACACCAGAGAGAGAGAGAGAGAGAGAGAGAGAGAGAGAGAGAGAGAGAAGGGGGGTGGAGTGAAGAGAAATAGAGAGAGAGAGAGATAGAGAGAGAAAAGAGTTGCCGCATACCTATATAGAGAGGCGGCATTCGGTTTTAAACGGCCGCGTTACTATCCTAAGTTCGATGTAATCGCTCGTATTCTCCGCTCTTTCAGATCTGAAAGCACACGATCGAGACAGCACGCTCGCATACACTTGTAAGGATCGCGTGTACCCTTGCTAAATACATCCGTCGTAACTCCATCCTGAATTGCTAGATCTACTCTCAGAAAAGGAGTATAACATAATTCACTTTACGACTATGCGCGTTCGTTTCACGACTTGCCAATAAAGGAGAGATACTCCATCGAAAGACTTTTCTCTATTCTATCGATTAGATAAACTTTTTGTGTATGTATATATATATATATATATATTTCTGTTTTGTTTTTTATCCCATAGAGAAATATTTGTTAGATAGCTCTTTTTTTATTTACTATTTTCTCGAGAGAAACTAACTTTACAATCGTTTCGCATTATCATGAACACAATAAACTTATATCTATCTATACATCTCTATCGAAGCTTTATGATTCAGAAATGGGGAGCACTCGAGGAACGATATTCAGGAATGGGGTGGGACGATTGCAAACGGTCGAGGAAAAAAGCCCTAACCCGAAAAAGAAAAGAAAAAGAAAAAAGAAAAAAAATATCTCGTTTCACGATCGGCAAAGTGCCTTGTCATCGTCGAGAACGCAATTCCACTTCGGCGTCTACGTTCATAGTCGTCAGTTTCGACTGGTTCTGCCTGGTCTTCGTGTTTTCGGGTACTCGTCAGAAGTATTCAGGAACTTCCTTGAGAGGTTTTCCTTTGCCCATTCGTCAGAGGGCCAAATAATATGCGAAGAATGTATATATAAACGTTGCACACATGCGTGCAAGAATACAAGCGCGTTAAACGACGTGGCGCGTGGAATTAAACGTCGGGCTATTAAAGTGAGTTCGCATGAATGTAGGTATATCCAAGGCAAAATAATAATAACCAAGAGAGAGAAAGGG